GTGAACAAGCCTGTTGTCCATGGCAGCCGTGGACATGGGTTGGCCATGCAGTGGCTGCACCGGGAAGCTTGCCATTGCCGGCGTCTCGAAGCTCATAGCCTGTAATTGGCCTGACCAGGGCGGGTTGTGTTGCATCGCAGGTGCGAAAGGATCCTCCAGAGAGCTCTGTTGCGGCAGTGTGGTCATTGGTGTTCCCATATGATCCCACAGTAGCTGTGTCTGGGGCATGACAGGCGCGGAAGCCGGGCCCATATTGGCAACTTGGTACATGTCCTGCGAGAATTGCATTTGGGCTAATGGCATAGGCGTGTGTGATCCTAGGACCATTGCGTGTCCGGCCATTTCCTGCTGAGGTGTCAAGAAACGGCGTGATGCAATAGTCGATGGGGTGCCGAACGCAATCTGGGTAGGCTGCTGTGTCTTCTTTGCTGACATGCCTCTTGTTGGCGGTGGTGTCTGCATCTGGCTTGAACTGAGAGACATCTGGGTTGCCTGCTGAGCTGGCGATATCTGAAAGCCATGGTGGATGCCGGGGCTGATCTCGGGAACAGAATAGCCAGCCTGTACACCAGCATAGTAACTCGACCGTAGCGTCTCGGAGGAAGTATGCCTTTGGACAGGTGTCATAGAGCTATACTGCGGTTGCTGAGGCGTCGTGTACACTTGCATCTGCGGCGTGTTGAAGGCATCTTGAAAATGGGATGGGAAGGTAGCTGTCTTGGGGGTTTGGAAGACGTTGCCGAATGTCGGGTTCGTGGGTGTTGCACCTGGGCTTGGGAAGTTCCAGTCTCCATTGCTAGACCGTCCATGAGCACAACCGAGCCGTCATATACGTTCTACCAAGGGATGACATACCCAACGAAGGCTTGATCGAATTCCATTGTGGGACCGTGTGTCCAATTCTTGCTGCCCGGGCGGCCCACCAGTCCTCGTAAGACCTACTTCCCACTTCTCACCAAATTTTCAAAGCATTATGATACCAAGCAGCTATTGCATTGTCTGTCCCGGGTGGTTCATCAGGGGTTGGGTGAGGTCCAATCGGATAATAGCACACGAGGCCGGACAATACCAAGAGGCCACCAAGCTGTGTCAGCAGCAAGAGGTATGGGTAGAAGTAGGCTGGACAATGGTGACGCCTGAACGCACAAGTGGTGGTCGTAGAAAGACTTGGTAGATGGAAGGGAGAGAAGAAGGCCGAGATGCACACACCTCACAAGGAAAGGCTCGCCTGGAGGCACGGCATGGATTGGCCAGGAGCTAGGAAGTGCAGGACGCACTGCGGCTTTTCCGTGCAAGGTACAGAGACCTGCATGGCCGGCCGCGGGAAAGCATATCATACAGTGGAGGTGAAATGAAATTGTTCGGCATTCCTCTCGGTGGCTTGGGGTGACCAGACCAAAAATGGGGGCGGGGCGGGGGGCGGGACGGATATGTCTGGGTCCAGGCCATAGCGGTGCTCGTTATTTACCTGCCTTTGATAAGATACCTTAGCGAACATGTCGTGGACGGTGGTGTGCGTGTCTGTGCTGTTCGTACTTTGTGTGTCACAGCGTAAGGTAGACGTGACACAGTAGTGATGGTTCTTTCGCTCATGAGTCGCCGTATATAGAAGTCTAGAAGTCACTGCTGTTTGTGGTTGTGTGAGGAGAGAATTGTCCGGCGGAGCCTCAGAGCCAATAGTGTTATTTGGGTTCCATAAGACGGAAACGCTAATTAATAATATACCACGAGTGTTGCAGCCAATGAGACATTTTGTATGTATTCGAGATCAGACTAAGATCACGTGACTTACAGCCACTTCCCGGATTCTCGGAATGAAGGCGATATGGTACCTTATCGATAAGTCGGAGATCCATGTCTCTGTCTCGGTGCTTGCAGAGCGTGCAATATTACGGTAGTGTTGGGAGCCGACGCCGGTTCTGGGACAGACCGTCAAATCTAACACGACTGGGCGTGGTCCACATCGACTGAGAAGTCTGCTGCTTGGCGAAGCGTTGTCGACATCTTTACAGTGCGGTCGACGGCTGCTAAAAGATCATGCTTGCTTCTCCAGATCAGCAGAGACCGGCTGCACATCAACTCGAGCCTCACGCCCTTGCCTCTCACCCGCTTCCTTCTCCTCTTTCTCCTGTTTGAGCTGTTGACAGAACTTACTATTCGCCCGTATACGATCCCCAAAGCGAATAAACACGAACGGGATCAACGCCATCACCAGACTCAGGAAACCCAGTACACTACACGCCCAGCCAATGCCGAGGCGGCTATACATCGGCCTGGCAGCGAAAGGCAAGATAACGCCGAAGATGGATCGCGAGCACGACGCCGCTCCCATTGCCGACGCGGCGAACACTTCGTACGCGTCGACGATGTAGTTGAGCTCGC